GGGGATACTCCCGCTCTGACTCTGGCTCCACGAGCAGCACAAGGCGAGCAACGGGGGATGCGGGTAAGTGGCCACGAGAGAGCGCAAGCAGGTGAAGCCAGCGGAGGATGGAGCAGGAGGAGAAGGAGCAGGGGGAGGGAGGAGGGAGGAGGGGAGGATGATCAAAGGGGGGAGGAGGAGGAGGAGGAGGAGGAGGAGGAGGAGGAGGAGGAGGAGGAGGAGGAGGAGGAGGAGGAGGAGGGAGGGAGGAGGAGGAGGAGGAGGAGGAGGAGGAGGTGGCTGAACTCGTCGCGCGATGGGGAGCGCGCCTCCGAACCGGCAGGGCCCCCGAGCCATGGCCGGGAGCCGAGCAGCAGTGATCAAGGCCCTGGTCAACGGCTCAAGGTTGGCCACGCACGCCACAGCGAGCCGAAGACTCCGAGCGGCCGGCCCCACCACCCACTCAAAAGCGGAGAGCACATGCCCAGGAGGGCGGAGTCCTCGCCAGAATCCGACGTAGCGCTGCCCATCGCTGCCAGACCTCAGCGTCTGAGGCTTGGGGGAAGTGGGGGAGCCAGGAGTACGTAACTGCGACGACGAAAGCGTGAGGGCATGAGATCAGGAAACACGGAAAGCCGGAGCGACCGAGCAAACACTTGGTGTGGGGGGGGGGCGACGGCCGTCCCGTCAGGCAGCACCGAGATCCACACTGGCCGCGGCCACGCCGTCTTGCCAGGCGGGCTGGGGGAGACCCATGGGAGGAGGAAGAGGAGGATGAGAAGGACGCGGAGGACGACGAGGACAAAGAGGATGAGTGCGAGAGCGAGAAGGGCCAGGAGGTCCAGAAGAAGACGGAGGATCGGATCGAGTCGGACTCGGGGATTTCGGCGGTGGCCCCGAAGCAGATGCGCCGCACCTGGCGGAGGGCTCTGGCGGTGGCGAGGCGAACGAAGATGGGCATTACTTGCACGATCCCCTCTTGCATGCCCTTGGTCCCGCTGGCCGACTTACCACCCTAGGTAGGGATATATGCGATATATATATATATATATATATATGTATATATATATATGTATATACATATATATGATTATATATATATATATATATACGTATCGATTCCCGTCCGGCTTCGCGGGGCCCATCCCCGCCATCGGGGACGGGGCGGGGGGACTCATCTGGAATGGCCCAGTGGGGACGGGGGTCGTTCAGACGATGCTGAGTGGAAGGCGAGGGAGGCGACGACGAGGACGAGGAGCAGCAGGAGCAGCAGCAGCGCCGCAGTGCCCGTCTCTGCGCGGGGGCGGGGATCGGTCAGACGATGCTCAGAGGAGGGCGAGGAGTAACAGGGGATATTACGACCCCAATCCCCGACTTTCTGGCGGATTCCCGACTGGAAGGAAAATGTGTGGCCCAACCCCGAGATTGACAATGTGGGGCGTCCATCTTCGATAGGTGTGCGTCCGAATAGCCCCCTCGGGGTGTATCCCAGAATTCCCTCCCCCTCTCCGCACGGCCAAACTTTTCGGGCGGAACTTGGGGTATGGGGCACAGAAACCGCCTGCGAAGGATGGCGACGGCGCTGACGATGAGCGGCGGGAACAGCAGCAGCAGCAGCAGCAGCAGCAGCAGCGCTAGAAGAAGGAAGAACGCCATAACCATAAACTTCTGGCGCTCCGCGATAATTTCTTGGATAACGCGCGGAGCCCGCCAGGGGCGGTGCCGGAGGCGCCGCCAGGGGGAACCCAGCGCGGGTCTAAGAAATCAACGCCGAGCGCGAAAAAGTTGATGTTCATGGCGATGTGTTCTTCTTCGAAGCGCGGCCGCGCCAGCGCGCCCCGCTCACGCTGCGGCGTCTCTCTGCCCCAGCCCCACCGCGCACCGTGCCTCAGAAAAAAAATACCGCGGTTGTGGAACGGGTGCCTCGGGCCCCGCCCCTTGAGGAGGAGGAGGAGTGGGAGGAGGATGAGGATGAGGATGAGGATGAGGACGAGGAGGAGGAGGAGGAGGAGGAGGAGGAGGGGGAGGAGGAGTGGGAGGATGATGAAGGATGAGGAGGAGGCGGAGGAGGAGGAGGAGAAGGAGGAGGAGGAGAAGGAGGAGGAGGAGGAGAAGGGGGAGGAGGAGGAGGAGAATGGGGAGGAGGAGGAGGAGGAGGAGGAGGAGGAGGAGGAGGAAGAGCAGCAGCAGCGAGGGCGGATCTGGTGAGAGGCCGCTTCGACCCGCGGCGGCGGCCGTGGCAGCCCGCCTGGGCCAGCAGCGCCTCGTGCAGGGAGGCCCCGGGCGGCTGCGGGAGGCCAGGCTCCAGGGCCGCGGCCGCACTCGGAAGCGTGGCGTCTCTTGCGCCGTCGCCGTGGGCTTCGGCGTCGGCCTCTGCGCCGCCGTCGTCCTCGCCGTCGCCGTCGCCGTCAGCCTCTGCGCCGTCATCGCCTTCGCCGTCGTGCCGCCGTCGGCGTCGGCCTCTGCGCTGTCGCTGCCCTTCGCCGTCGCGCCGTGGCCATCGCTGCGAGGAGGCCCGGGG